TGCGGCTATACCCTTTAAATAGCAAAATCTGGATTTCTCTTTTTAAATTACTTTAATTAGTAGTTATGTTTTAATTATTATTTACTTAGTGAATAATTAGTATTTAAATATTTTATTAAATAAAAAAATAAAAAAATAAAAAGCTATTTATTAAGTAATATAATTTGTGGAGTTAATTAAAATATTTAATACTAATTATTCACTAAATAAATACTAATTAAATAAAATAAATAAGGCTATGATATTACTTGGAGATAGGGTGTGAAAATAGATTGGGGTATTTTCAGAAGTTTGTAAATTTCATTAAAACCCAGAGCCTCCTCAAATGTGATTGCTGCATAATTAGAAAATGAGTTGTTTTCCCGATGACTAAGTCAGATCTTTCCCTAAGAAGGATCAAAAGGTGTTGTACTTAAGTCTAAAGAGATTTCCAATTACCATTTTGGTGTAATGTACTCTTTTTTATATTGGAAATGAGGTGCCCTCTTTTCGTTCTCTTTCAATGTGGGACTCTTGCACCTATGATGATGTGGCATCTTTAGATTGGACGGTCGATGAGATCCTGGCACATGGTTACTTTGGCTATGGGATCAGCACACCTCTTGGGATCGTGCTCGGTGGGCCTCGCTGCTCATGTTTAGGCCTTTCCCAAGACGCGAAAGCGTGAGGCCTCGGTTTGGTCGTTACATGGACATGTGCGGCATGGACTTGTCTAGATCGAGCATAGGAAATCCTAGGAGAGGTTGTGTTTGGGTTTTTTGAGAGGGCAAGTCACTTCATTAAGTGAACTGGGCTTAAATCTGCTCTGAAAGGTAGGCCCAAGAGACATTTTGGATACAACAGTAGCCATGGCTGCTGACTTCCCAATCTTGGTGTTAGCATCAAATGGCATTCATTTTCTCTGGAAATGGCTACAGGACCTTAATTCTAGTGGAGTGGTAAAGAATGACACGCTTTATAATTCTTTCCTATTAGATTTCTCCTCTCTTTCCTTTCGAATTGAAACCGAAGCAACAGTTTATCATTTGATTCTGATGATGTTGATTGAATGCAGGAAGAGAGAGGGAAATGGACAGAAGACCTTTTGTAAAATTATTAATTTTAAACCAATATATCTCCAGGTAACCACAAAACCATAAAACCATAAAATAAAAAAAACTGCGTGATTATTCTGGATTCGTGCTTTCTCCTTCAAGTTGACTCTCTCTCTCTACCCCTAACCCCATTCATGCTCAAGGCAAAAATCCCTCATATTCATTAGTTACCCATACCCATACCCATGAGAGAAATATTCAGCCCCAATATATAAATTTTTTCATTAAATATCTTCTTTTTTTTTGGGTCTTTTGTTAAGGAGAGGCAGGGGGAGGGGAGGGGGGAGTATTATATGAGGTTGCCTCAAGATTGTCTCCTACATGAATCAAGCCCGTGTGCACTTGAGGGGAGGGGAAGAGTTTGGCCTAGTTTTCCACTATAGTGCCACCCCATGTGCATTGTATTTTATTTTATTCATTTTAAAATTTGTGCAAGCCATTTTTTAATTTAACAAAAAAGTTAATAGAGTTGACAAAAAGGACCAGTAGTGCAACTCACAATCTAATTGGACATAGACGAAATTGTAACATGGGGTATAGTTAGGGCCAAGGTCTTAAATATCGGAGGTATCGGAAATATCGGAAGTCAAAAAACAAGGAAATATTGCAGGAAATATCGGGATATTATTGGTATCGGAAAAAATTGAATAAAAACCACGGAAATTGTAAGAAAAACTTGGAAATTTTTATTGAAACTTTGCAGGATGTTTATTTAGTCAA